AAATTAATATCTCAGGAACCACGGAGTCTAGGAGGCTGAAATTTTAGGGCAATGACCCCCTGCCCATGTTCAACCTTGCCCATTTAAATCCAGCATTCCCGCGCTCTCGGGTACCATCTACTGCCTCATAAAAATTTTGGCGGGTAAACTATTAACTCGGGGATCACGGAAAGATATTTACCCTTCAAGGTTTCGAATTCAGCTTTCATGCACTGGTGCGTGAAATTTTTAACTATTTTCCAGTTTTTGAACTGTTTTTGCATAGACAAAAGTACAAAACGGTGGAAATCATTAATAGGCAATCGTTCGATGGGCTGAACTGCACAAAACGCATGAACGCACCGGCTAGTCTGGTGCACGTTGCTATTTATTTTTACTAAGATTCTTCAAATTGCAGTAAATCTCAGCAATATGTCGAGAAATGGAACTCCTATTTGTGGATATTTTTCTCATCTTTCACAGTATGGACACCTACTGATCTGTTGCAGCGCTATCGTATTGCGGCAAAAGATCGAGCAAATCACGAAGGACATGTAATACTTCGTTTGTTATTTAAACTTCCCGTATTTTTAGAACACGTGGAAAAGCAGTTTTTGCATAAGTGTTTAGAAGTGCATGAATTTTCGATTTCCTTGAACTGGTTTCAACTTTTGTTCCGATTCTGACTGTACAACTTTGAAAAAAAAAAAACCGCGTGAACAGCTTGCGAGGATTTGGTTGCTATTATCTGGGAGGGAGGAGAAAGAGGGGAGGGGGGGGGGTTGGAGGGGGCAATTGAAGAGTCTTAGCTACAGTCGTTGTAGGGCTTAATATTAACACTCAGTTCGATCATGGTAATAAAAGAAGCTCAGGGCTGATTTAAAAGATGGCTTTTGATCGTATTACAGTTTTTTTTTTTTAATTTTTTAGTATTTTTTGATCAATTACATTTCGCAACTTGATTCTTTGATGGTGCATTTGATAGCTTTTCCAACTGCTTGGGTCAAAACTGAACTGTTTAATGATTAGCCTGATGCTCATTTCTTTTTGTCCTGATGCGCATGATGCTCATTTCTTGTGTCCTGATGCTCATTTCTTGATGCTCAAGATGCTCATTTCTTTTTCTGTAGAGATATTTTTTTTTCCTGATGCTCATTTCTTTTTCTGTAGAGATTGCCAGCACAGCGACTTTCTCTGGGAAGAGTACTTGACAGTGCTATAGCCGTTTCGAGATTTCATTGATGTTTGCTCAGTTGTAACGGTCAAAGTCGGAGCAAAAGTCAAACTGGTGCAGAAAACTGAAGGAAATCGAAAATTCATGTACTTCTTGGTGTTTATTTGGAAACTGGAGCGTTGCTTCGCCTAGATCACGATGCGTGATATGCTTTGTATTTCCAACTTTTCCGTTTGCGCGAAAATAAGAAATGTGTTGTTTTTTGATGCTTTGGCCAGCTGCCTTTTGCGAATAGCCTGGATCTGTATTATTGACTTTGGCTGATATCATTTTCTTGGTTGTTTTGACGGAAATTACTCACCTACCTGTTAGCTTATTGCCAAAAAAAATCATGAAACTGAAAGGTCGCGAAAATCATGTTTTTTAGTATTTTGTAATTGTATTCTAGTAAAATCATGTTTTCTAGTATTTGCAGACGCACCGGAAACATCATCATCACCACCACCATCATCGTGAGGGCGAAAGCAGCCGCGATAATGGAAAATCGGCAAGCAGCACAGGGCCATCTGTAACACCGAGAGAAGAACTAAGAATCAACACCGCATCAACAACAGCTGCGGACTGTATAAGTAGAAATACGGTTGATTTACGCATGGGTAGCAGTGGACATCCACGTGATCCGCGGCAGAACAGGGCAGCGGAACATCATCATTCATTTAGGAATGAGCCAGCGAACTGGGAAGAAAATCCGTAAGTTTTTGAAGTTTTTATAGACAATATTGTATACAGGGAGTGCTTTTCTGAGCGTGCTTTTTAGTGATTTAAGCGATTGAATAATAGCAGAAATTGTGAAGCAAACTGCAGCATCCAGGTTGACACTGGAAGCGCAGATAACGAAAGTGCAATGATTAGTGTAGTAAATAAGGCAGAAGTGAGATAAGACGTTTCGCTCCATTAAATCATATACTACGTAGCTCAACTCTGCGACTGGACCTTGTCAGTATGACGGTGGCAATGCTTAAAAAGGCGAAAAACGGAAAAGAAAGCAAGGGCAACACTGGGATTAAAGAGTGTGAAAGGGATAGGAAGAAGAGGGGGCAAGGACGGGAAAGAAAAGTCAAGCAATAACCTTATAACCGAAAGGAATTTGGGAAGGAAAGGGTTGTGAGGCCTGAATCTAGCAGTAATAGTATTACTTCTGGGCTTACTTTTTTTTTCTACTTCTAGGCTTACTTTTTTCTACTTCTAGGCTTCTGTTTTCTGTTGAAGCCCGAATTTACCTGTAAAAAAGCCAGTTTTCCCTAGCGATTCGTTTTGAAGCAGGGAAAGAAACCGAGCGGACAGTGGGGAAGGGGAGAGAAAGATGGCTCTGTCCTGTGCCAGATTCGTTTCTGGCAGAAAAATGGACCATCGACAGTGATTAGCTGTATACTCACTCTCTGTTGGAGGCGAAAAATCTCGGAAATAGCTCAACTGATAGCAAAACGCCAACAGCAATCACTTCCCCATAAGCCGTCGATAGGTCCCTTTCATGAAAATTGTTTACAAACATGCCGATGGCGGGTTTAATTTAATCTCCTGATGTGCACAAGTAGCAATTTACCATCGAACAGTAAGGAAGGATCGATGAATAATGCGTAGCTGCCTCAGCAAAGCAGCTTAGAGATATTAGTTCTATAGATATTAGTTCTTACATCTTGGGTGTTAGACCCTCACATGGTCCTTGACTGCAGCAACGGAAGACAGGGAATACCAGCACATTATTCTTCCAATAAGAGCTTCGCTTCAAATAAAACAACGAGTGGAATGGTGCTTAAAACGAGACGGGGGCAGCACACAAGCTGTTCAGCAGAAGGACGCTGGTAGTGTTGAGGCGAGACGCTAGTGGCGCTAGTAATAAAAGGACGTAGCAGACGAATGGCGGTTGTTGATTCCCAAAACTAAGGGCCTAGGTTTTAGAAAAGGGTTTATATAGGGAAAATTAATGGAGGGAAAAGGAGGGCAAGTTAGTGAATGAGAAAATAGGTAATATGGAATTATTTAGAATTTGGTGGAATTGTTAGAAATTAGTGAGTGGAAGGAAGTAAGTCTAGTGAGAGGAGGGAAATTGAATTGTAGCGTTACATGGGTGCCATAACATTTCTCAGCACGCTACCACAGCCTTTTTTGATGAAATTAATTCAGAAGTTCATCAAGTATACCAGTGAACGACGAATTTGATACCTACAAGCCGCCGCCACCTACATGGCAACAACCATCCAGTTCGCATACGGATTACGGTGAAAGTGGCTCTCATGATTCTTATCACCATCATCAGCGTCATCATCATCAACAGCAGCAGCAGCCACCATCGCAAGAACATCATCGTCATTATTCTCGTGGTGATTACAGTGGCAGTTCATATCGTAGCAGTTACAACCGTAGCAGTTACTACGATCGACCAAGCGGTCGATATGAGCCATATTCCTCGTACAAGGATCATCGGCGTGATCAAAATTATTATCGTGATAAAAGTAAGTGTTATTTTTTTTTCCAAAATTTTGGTTATGAGTTCCAGATAGGCAAGAATTTTCAAATGCTGCAAAATCAAGCCCTTTCTATCGGTCAACAACAAAAATGACATCAACCCAAGGTCACCTGCCGTTGTTTTTTTCCACAACAAGGAAGCCAAGTTGTTCAGTTTGCTGTTAGAATTCGTTACGAACCTTGTCAGCAACTGAGCTTAGGGAGTAGTTTTGATAGATCATACATTGCTTTGTATTTTTTGGATGCATCACGCAGACGTAGAGTAAGATTACCAAGACATTAAGACCTCCCGGGCCATCGATATGCGGTCCCATTGTTGGTGATGTTAGGACCGAAACGTCTTATCTCACTCTCACCACCAACCTTCATTATTGTCTCCTGCAGTTGCGCATCCTGCCATCTGCACTTCCAGAGTTGGCCTGTAAGTTGCAATCTACTTAGGAGTATGCTCCTACTTATTATAATAGGAGGTCTTTTGATTTAAGACCGTACGTTATTTATTAAGCTATGAAAGGTTGAAGAGAAAATATCAAAAGGGAAAGAAAACAAAGAAAACGAGTAGGAAAAGGGTACATTGCTTTGTAACACCCAAGCTTAGCTGGACAAAACTCGACACAGCGTTTTCTCGGTATCGTTTGAGCTA